ACCAAAGGACACTTCTTTTTTTTTTTTTTTTTTTTGTCCTTTTTGAGACCAGCCGCACCGCACTCAGCCAGTGAGCGCTGTGAGTGCACTGGTCATCCCTATATAGGATCCGAACCCGCGGCGGGAGCGCTGCTGCGCTCCCAGCGCCGCACTCTCCCGAGTGCACCACGGGCTCGGCCCCAAAGGACACTTCTGAGGGCCAGATAGGGCACCTGTGGGCTGCCAACTTGTGACCTGCCCTTTGAGGAGAATGGGCATATCTGCCAGCTAGTTTTATGAAGCCAGCTGAAAACCTCAAGGACTTGATGGGGGAGAGGGGGTTGAAGAAGATGGGCACCAAAGCATAAGTAAATTAGAATTCCTGGTCTTCCTGCCACTGCTGGAAGGAATCTGCCATCATTTTAGGTCAACCTTTTTTTCTACAAATGAGGGATCTGAAGACTAGAGAAGGTGGGGATTTGTCCAAGGTTATACAGAGCTAATTCCTGCACTGGGTCTAGCCCCCAGGTATGCCAGCTTCCAGCCCACTCCACCATGCAAACTACTGTCTCAAAACCAGGCCACACTTGTCTGTCCAGGACACCAAACCTGGCTCCACCAGGAGCATAAGAAACTTCCCGCAAGTTAGAAAGAGATGCCCTTTCTGACCACAGTCAAAGTTCCCTGTCTATCCCAGCTCCCCTATTGGCTCATGGGACCCACCCCTTCAGGGTTCCTCCCCCTGCCCCGCAGCCCTGTGAGAGGGGACATTGCCTGGGAGGCCAAGGGTTACCACAGCACTATGACTGAGTCTGGGAAGGTAAGGAAGACACTTGCCAGCTAGCTGCCCCTTTGGGGGCTACTCGGACCTCAGGAACTCATGCCAGCACAATTTGGAGCCCAGGGACCTCACAAGGCTCCCAGGGCCTCTGTTCCAGAGAGTTCTGAGCCTGGCCTGAGTTGCGCAGACACAGGCCTGAGGAAGGAGGCCTGGTAGGATGGGAGGAGACAGTGTTGGCTCAGAGACCCTTGCCTGGGGGCTGGTGCCTCTCCACAAGGCTCCTGAGGCTGGGAAGCCACTGAATGTGGGTTAATGTACCCCTTGTCCTATCTCTCCTCAGCCCATCCTCTATTCCTATTTCCGAAGCTCCTGCTCATGGAGAGTTCGAATTGGTAAGAGCTGTGCCTCCACCAGGCTGAGCGCTGGAGAGGGGTGGGGTGGGGTGGGATGGGGCGGAGAAGCCCTAGGTGCACACTGGCCTGGGACAGAAGGGTACTCTCTCTGACAGGACTTCACCCCCAGCAACCAGCACCCCTGGTTTCCTGGAGCCCCTGCCCCTGAATGGCACCTCCACCCAGGAAGTCCAATAAGAGGAGCGTAGGAGTGGGAGGAAGGGGTTGGTTTTTGTCTTGGGACTGCTACTTCTCCCCACACTGCTCTCCAGAGCTCCTTAGCAACCATGCCTAAAGCAGGTCCACAAGATCCAGAGGTCCCTGGTAACTGGCAGGGGAACAGCTGGCCTCCCTCAATTCTTATTTGATCTGGCAAGTTAAACAGAACTGGTCTGTGTCATCTGCCGAGGCTTCAGGGAAGCAGAAACTAGGGCCCTCTGGCTTAGTCCTGGTTTAACCCTTCCCTCCCTCAGCCTTACACAGCTCTTGCCAAAGGTCCCGGTCATAGCAGCTCATACTGAGGAAGAAGACCTCTGTGTGCTTTTGGGTGCCTGATTCCATTTAAACCTCAACAACCCTAGGAGGGAGGTGCTGTTTTTGTCCTCATTGTACATATGAGGAAACTGAGGCACGAGGAGGTTAAACAACTTGCCCAAGATCAGGCAGCTACTAAGAGGCAGAGCTGGAATTTGAAACACATAGTCTGCCTCCAGAGTCCATGTTTTTAACTACTACACTATGCTGCATGTCAGGTGAGGAAACCGAGGCATGGAGGCCCATCAAGTTACTTGACCAAGGCCACACAGCTAGCAAATGAACTGGATGAGATTTGAACACAAGCAGCCTAGCTCCAGAGCCTGGCCCTCCCACACCACAGTCTCTTGCTATTTGCTGGAGTCAGTAAGTAAGAGCACTGGGTGTCAGGAGAAATTTTCCCCCAAGAAGACGCCCCCTTCCTTGGAACACAGATCTTCTGCCCTGCGTGAGCCTGAAGCCAGAAGCTGTAGGAGCACTGTCTCTCTCTAGCACCTGCATGCTTAGTCATCTCCCACTCACCCAAGTGTGCGTGCATACACACACTCCCATGCACACGCGCACGCAGTCTTCTCCACTAAACTTGACCCAAGTGTTTTTAATCCTCGCTTTGCCAGGGGAAATTATCAAAGAGGATAGAGAGGAAATCTGGTCAGTGGAGTCACAGCAAATGCTCTGAGACCACTAAAGATCCTGATGCCCATCTGGAGTCTATAATAAATAACCCTGAGGACAGAGAGAATGGATTGGAAAGAGATTCTTCTCTAAACAGAAAAGGAGTGTCACTGCCTGTGTGTGTCTCGTGTGTGGTCACCTGATTGCCTTTCCTTGGCCCTTAGAAGCTTTATTAAGGGAATAATTGCATGTCTCCAACAAATACGCCCTGCTCACCACTGTTTAAGAACCTGGAGGGGCAGAGGTGAACAGGACACGACCTGCTCTGCTCCTGGAGCCTGCAGTGTGCCAGGGCGCACGCCTTTACAGCACCACTCAGGGGGAATGAAGGCTTTAAGAGGTCATGGGTAAGAGAGACAGTGTCATGCCCCTGGAGTAGGGGGGTGGGTGGTGACAGGAAAGCAGGAGAGAAGGGGCTAGCACCAAGCTGGGCCTTGATCACCCAGCAGTGGAGAAACTTCCCCTCTGCAGCCTTATGTCGCCCTGGAAGGGCTTTTTCTTTGGGAGTGCAGCCGAAGGCTGTCCCCTGACTCTGTTATCTGTGGTCTCTCCTAGCTCTGGCCCTGAAAGGCATTGAGTATGAGACAGTGCCCATCAACCTCGTAAAGGATGGGGGACAACAGGTAAGCAGGCTGTCCCTAGGCCACGATGGGAATTGGAGGTCTTGGAGAGGTACCAGGTAGGGGTGTCTGCCCCCAAGAAATGAACCTGTATCCTGTGGTCCCTATGGCCAGAGGGGGCTGCTGGCTCTCCCTGGAGGTACAAGGTGGCATGCTATGCAGCAGTAGGAGCCATGAGCAGGGCCCAGGTTCCAGGCTCTGTACCAACACCTGGGCTTTCCAATGTCCAACCGCAGGAGGATGGGTGGCAAGTGGGTCCTTGCCCTACCTTGGGCCCTCCGGATGGATGGCTAGGGTAGGAGCTGCCTTGATGGCCACAGGGTGAGATGCAGGGAAAAGCACAGAGCCAAGCTGTTGGGCTGAAGCCTGTAGCTCAGCAGCTGCTGGGGTTTGGGATACCGCACAGATCCCCCAGGGATCCACGGGCCTAGGAGCTAGGGCCTTCTCCAAGGAAAGGAGGTGTGGACGGGCGACAGGCCTAGGGTTTCTTGACTGCTTGGTTCTGCTCTTGCCAACTCAGCCCAGGCCACTCAGCCCACCAGGGCCTTGTCTCCACAGTTCTCTGAGGAATTCCAGGCAGTGAATCCCATGAAGCAGGTGCCAGCCCTGAAGATTGATGGAATCACCATTGGCCAGTCAGTGAGTGCAGGGCTTGGGGGAAGCCCTTCGTGAGAGCAATGTCCTGAGTGAGAGGCCCTGGCATCTCTTCCTTGCCTGTGTGTGCCAAGATGCCTCATACATGGGGGGGCTCAAAGAATATTTGTCAGAGGGAGAGAGGAAGGTTGTTTTGGGAAGTGCAGGGAGACTCAAGCATACGGGGAAACAGTTCTGCAGGCCAAGGTCCAAAAAGGTTTCACAGGGCTTGAGCAGAGGAGGGCGAGGAGGAGGAGTTTGCTGGCCCTGTTCCCTCTGGTCCAGGGGTCCAGCCCCCTCCCTGCCTCCCTGCTCCCTCTGGACAGCTGGCCATCATTGAGTACCTGGAGGAGACCCGGCCCACTCCGCAACTCCTGCCTCAGGACCCGAAGAAGAGGGCCAGTGTGCGCATGATCTCTGACCTCATCGCTGGTGGCATCCAGCCCCTGCAGGTGCAGCCATTGTACATTTGCCCACCTCTCTCATCCACTCACACTTTCACCTTCAAACATTCACACACTGACTGTGGCAAGCCCACACTGAGGTGTCCAGCTTGGGGGTGGCAGGAAGACAGAAAGGGATTCCTGAGGGCTTTGACCTAGACCACGAGGCAAAATGGGGCAGGGATCCCAGAAATCAGCCACCCTAGTGGGTCCCAAACTGTGTTAGAGAAGCCCTCGGTTTCCAAGGACGCATCCAGAGGTGCCGGAGCTGGGGAAAGGGCCAGGGTGTCAGGAGAGGCCGGCAGGCACAGGTTCAGGCCTATCGCCTTTATTTTTTATTTATTTTTTATCTTTTAAAAGATGACCAGTAAGGGGATCTTAACCCTTGACTTGGTGTTGTCAGCACCACGCTCTCCCAAATGAGCTAACCGGCCATCCCTATATGGGATCTGAACCCGTGGCCTTGGTGTTATCAGCACCACACTCTCCCGAGTGAGCCACGGGCAGGCCCTACGCCTCTCACCTTGAACCAGAGCAGTCTCCCTTTCATCTGCTCTGTATCATGTATTGGCCATCTTGCTGGATTTTATTTTTTAGATGTTTTCACTGGTAAAACAAAAAAAATATTAAAACAGTTCATTTGTGCTAACTCCTGACTTGTGAATGAGAAAATAGCCCTAGAGAGGTGGAGTGACTTTGCTGAGTTACAGCTAAGTAGTAACACAGCAGGGACCAAGGGCAAGTCCCTGTGCACCTGTGTCCCTCATCCCTGTGTCCTTTTGTGTTTTTAACAAAGGAGGTTAGAGCAGACAGACATCCCCATTTTACAGATGAGGAAATTGAGGTCCAGGAGTCTAATGACTCCATGGGTGCAAGGGTGGAACCAGAGTCGAAATCTCTGAGATCCAGTCCTGTGCGCGTCACCCCGGCCAGATCACACTGCCCTTTCTCACAAGGGCCCATGTAAAGGAGAAGAACTGGGTGCAGAAGACATAGGCTCTGGGTTTTGGCCACACCTGCCACAGCCATGCAGCGTCCTGTTCCTACTCTTGCACATCTCTGCCAGAATCACATGGTTTTCAGACCACAAGGGCCCTTGGGGCAGCTTGAGAAGGTGGCTGCTGGGATGACCACCTCCCTCCAACCTCAAGGCCCTGATGAGAAGAAGGGGCTCATGGAGCCCAGGAGTGGGGGGTGTGTGGACAGCTGGGGGCAGATGAGAAATGAGCTTCCCTGAGGGGGCTTGGCTGAGGAGCAGGCCCAGCCTAGCTCCCAAAGCAATCACAGATTTTCCTTGGGCTGCACAGAACCTGTCTATTCTGAAGCAAGTTGGACAGGAGAACCAGCTGGCCTGGGCCCAGAAGGCCATCAGTTCTGGCTTTCATGGTGAGTCCTCACTCCTGTGAGCTGCCCCAAGGTGACCTCTCAGAGAAATGGCCCTCACACACGAACCAGCCTCCCGGGCTGCTTTGGTCTTAACAGTGGCATGGATGAGGGCAAGGCTGGGGAGGCAGTGGGCTGGGCGGGCATCCGAACCTGGCCTCAAGCTCCGACCGCTCCTGGAACCTCAGTACCTGAGGCCCACAGCCTTTTGGAGCTGGATGCCCAACTTCTGCTTCACTGCCCACCCCAGCCAGGAATGCAAGGCCCACAGAGAGCCAACCCCTCAGCCTCGGCCGGTGGCAGTCTTGTCCACTCTGGTGGGGGGAATGGCAGCTGGACTTGAGGAGGCCAGGGAAACATCAGCTGGGGAGAGTTGCTGAAGACACTGTCCCCAGCAACTCTCTCCCAACCAAGTTCTACGTTCCCTCCAGCACCCACGCTCCAGGCTGTCATTCGGATAGGCGCCCATTTCACAACTGTGGAGGCTGAGGCACAGAAAGGCTGATGTCCCCTTTCTCTGCCCAGAGTAAGATTATCCATGTGCCCTCCCCACAGCTCTGGAGCAGATCCTGCAGAGCACAGCGGGGACGTACTGTGTAGGAGATGAGGTGAGCCATCCCCAGGCCTGTCCCGACCTGCCACAGCAGCCGCCTCCCTCCTGCTGACCCCAGGCTGTCACTTTCTCCCGCTTAGACTCAGCTATCTCCTTCTCTCTTCCCCTGGGGCAGGGGGTGCTCAGAGCTTCCTGAGGAGGCATCTGCAGGAGAACATGGGGGGATCTCTGTGCCAGGCAGAGTTAGCTCATGTGGAGCTACTAAGCTGCCTCCAGAGGAAGTGAGGTATTCAAGCTAGAAGGCTGCGTCTCTGAGTCCAAGCACCAGCTGAGGGATTACACTAGAGGATGTCTCCGTTCCCTCCCAATTCTGAGATTCTAAGATTCAGGTGCCCTTGACTCCTACAGGCTAAGGCCCTGGGACTCTGGCAATTCTGGTTCCAGGGCCCCCCACCCCCACCTTAAGGCATCTCCTCCCTGCTGGGAGCCTGGTGATGGTGGTTTTTAACAAGCCACCCACATAGTTGGTTCTCAGAGCAACTGGAGCGTGACCTGGGAGAAGAGCTTCAGCCCCAAGGGACAGACCAAGGCAGGCCCAGGGGAAAGGAGGGTGGGGCTGGGCGGTGGAGATGAGTGGGAGAGCCAAAGCAGATGGGGACGTCAGGGGGGCACCAGTACAGTCGTAGTGGACACACCCAGCCCAGCCAGTGAGTCTGAAGTGCTCACCATGACACATACCCACTTGATCCTCTTACAGGTGTCCATGGCTGATCTGTGCTTAGTGCCTCAGGTGGCAAATGCTGAAAGGTAAGAGAGAGCCCCACCACCTTCCCTTCTCCTGGCCTCACCCACACTTGGGCCCCCCACTGCAGCAACTGAGGCAGCATCTCATGCAGACTCTTCCCCACCCAGACAAGGAGCCCACTGTACTGGGCCACACTGGCCATCTTGGCCTGGAAGAGACAGGGTAGAATAAATCAGTAAAATGCCCCTACCATGCCCACTGCAGCCTGGGTGATCCTGGATAGACGGTCCCTGCTCCTAAGCGGTGGTGGCTCAACTGGTGGACACCCCAGGAGCACCTGCCTGCTGTCCCCAGATGTGGCATGTCTGTGCCTGGCTGCGAGTGCTACCTCTGCTTCCTGCCATCAGCCCTTCAATAGGGCACAAATAAGCACCTCTCTATGGAAGGCATCGTGCTAGGCATTAGGGATATGGAAGAGAACAACTCATTCTCTGCCCCCAAGATGCTCATGACGTGGGAGAAGAGACAATCTGCATATACAAATGCCTAGCACTGAGACTTACACATAGTAGGTTCTCAATAAATTGCTTCCATGGGAACAATAGGTAACAGATGCCAACTGATACTGCACAAGACCTACCCAGTTCCAGAGCTACCTGTGAATAATGCTTCCCCGGCAGGGCTGCCTTCCTCATCATTTCCCTGGTCTGCCCCACAGACGTCATCCAGCCCTGCCTCTGTGCTCCCTCACAGCCCACAAGGAAGTCTCCCCAGGTCCCTGGAAACTTTGGCTTAAGGAGTGTTTCTCTGCTACAGGTTCAAGACGGATCTCACCCCCTACCCTACCATCAGCCGCATCAATAAGACGCTGCTGGCCTTGGAGGCCTTCCAGGTGTCTCACCCCTGCCGGCAGCCAGATACACCCCCTGAGCTGAGAACCTAGCTCAGCACCCCATTGGTGCATGGGCAGGGAGAGGGGTACAGGAGCAGAAGCTGAGTGGGCTGAGCAGGTCTAGAAATGAGCAAATCCTAACAGGGGAAGCAGGAACTCTAGCCCTTGAACTGGAATTATAGCCCTGGATCTGCCTTTCTGCTGAACCTCAGTCCTCCCATCTGTCAAATGCGGGTGGGGTGAGGTGGGGGGATCCTGGGAGGGGGGTGGGCAGAAACATTACCTGCTATATATGTCATGGGGCAGTCATAAAATGAAATGAGAATGTGGGTTGTGGATTAAAAGGCCTGGCAAGTTTATTGTAGCACCTTAAGGAAGCCTGAGTGCCTCTTCTTACCCTCTCTTATTGTGCCTGACTCCAAAGAACACCCACACTAAAATTTGGTCTTTAAACTGAAGCCCAGGCCTCCAGCTTGCCCAGTTAAAACTGAGCTTCATTCCAGAAGATGAACACTCTCCTAGCTGGAATCCTCCTGTGTCTGTACCCGTCAGCCACTTGCCTAGCCTGGGGCAGGCCTGGCCCCTGGGAGCTAAGCAAGGAAGAAAAATAAGCCCAAAAGCCTGCCTGAGAGAATCAGACAAGCTCCAGGGGGAGAACAGATACAAGAAGCAGGAAAGAAAGCATCTAGTTCCCATGGTACCATCGTTAAGTGTCCCACTCTAGCACCGAGAAGCAAGTTGGCCCTCTCAAACCAGTCCCTCATCCTCATGGGCAGAATTCTCTGGACCAGTCCCTCGATTTGGCATGTATGGTAAATCCAGTCATGCATGGAACTGGGCAGTGTGAACAGCTACTGACCAGGCCAGCTCAGGAGACCAACCAGGTAACAGTTTACCATGGGCTGCCCTGGAGAACAAGTCCCCATCCTGCAGTTTCAAGCAGAAACAGGACCTCCTGGGCCGGCCCGTGGCTCACTCGGGAGAGTGCGGTGCTGATAACACCAAGGCCCCGGGTTCGGATCCCACATAGGGATGGCCGGTTCGCTCACTGGCTGAGCGTGGTGCTGACAACACCAAGCCAAGGGTTAAGATCCCCTTACCGGTCATCTTTAAAAAAAAAAAAAAAAAAGAAAGAAACAGGACCTCCTCTTGGCAGAGATGGAGGGAAATTGGGGTAGCTTCTGGGGGTGAAACAAGAAGACTTTTTGACCCATACTAAGATTTCATTCCCCCTGTATGGCTGAGCTTCCACAGGGAATTAAAGTCTATGTGTCTGCATCAAATGGAAGACATCTTTCTCAGCCATGAGGCCCTTTTCTCCAGCCCCAACCCCAGGGCACCTAGTTCTCCCCTCTCACCCTGGGCTCCTTTGTGGACTCTCCTCCTCTCTTAGGTGACCTGGGTTCCAAGCTCTAGAATGACCAAAGTGGGCCACTCTTTTTCCCACGGCCGATTTGTCCTAGCAAAGCCAGAGAGAAGCAGAAAAGGAGAGATGAGACACGGCAATAAGGGAGACTCAGTGGCACCTCCCTGCTGCCATCTCGACTCTTTTCCTCAAATTACGCCAGACTTGCCTGACTTGATAAGGATCAGCTGGGCTCTCTACAAGATATTTCTCAGCCCAGAAATCAGGAATCGTTACCACCTGATTTGGATGTCTGAAGTTGAAGGTGATTAAAACTCCTGTGGATTTTCAAGATAGATTCAACTTAGGAGAAAGGAGGCTGGCCCCATACTTTAGGCGTGTTCCTGCAACTCCCATGGCAGTGTGCCTGCCTGGACCTGGAGATCAGACCTGGGGAGATGAGAGAAGAGCAGCAGGCAAGCCTCAGGGGCTGGGCTGGGCCAGATGGGGTGCCGCTGCCACTCTCCAGGATTAAATGGGAACTGGCTCTGCCTCTCACCAACAGAACCTTGTGAACACAATTAGTCCAAAAGGATTTCTAACACTGCTAAGGTTACCAGGTTCCCCCCATCGCCTTCCTCTTTCCAATCTCATCTCCAGCCAACAGAGAGCTGAAGAGACTTCTGGGAGGTAAGAGAACTAGATAGAATGCACATCTAGGACAAGGTACAGAAACTGAGACCACTCCCCCTGCCCTGAGTGATTCTAGAAAGAGCTAGGTATACTGAGGGGCAAACTGGGATTTTTCCTAGAAGAAAACAATCCCCCCAAACACAGACAAATCCTTCCTTCTCCACAAAAAAACATATGTGTCTAAGCTGAAGAGCCTCAAACTGGTCTCAAGGCTGGGGCTGGGAACCGTTCTTGCCTCCCTCTTCACCCAGAACCAAGGGGAGTGACTTGGGTTCTGGTATGGTATGTTCTAGGCTTCAGAAACTGGGGCTGTGAAGAAGTCAAGGAATCTGGGGAGATGGAATTGGGAGGACTGCAGAGAGAAGGCAGGCCCAGGGGGGCCCCACTCAGGACCAGCTGAGGGATGGGAAGGGAGTGGGCCAGCAGTGGACGAATAGCAATCCTGGCCTCTGAATGACCACAGCCACAAGAGAGAAGGAGCATCTCTCTGGTCTGAGCCTGCAGCTTTCAGTCAGAGTGAGGCTGTCTCGTGTTTCCAGCCTAGGGGCCTCCGTGGAGTCCAGGCCATCAACATGATTAGCTGTCGTGCTGTTTAGGGATGTTGGAGACCTGAGATTTTGCCAGCTTCGGCCCCACCCCACAGGGTACCTTCCTCCAGGGACCTGGGGCTGGCTACATGAGAGAGAAGAGAACTCCCCTATTCTCAGGAAACTTAGCTGTGGTCTTGGAAGTAAGAAAATGTAGCGTTTGTAAACCTTCTTCCCTGCACAAGAGCAGGTTCCCTCGAGTTCCTGTAGGGCTGGACTCCTGACCTACCTGTTATCCCAGAACCAAGCAATGTGGCTAGCCTTGCTCCATAAATGCATGTTAAGTTGAAAGATGTCCTTCCTGTACAACCATGGCTGGCTACCCGAACCCTCCTTCCTTGAATGTCATCTCCTCCTATCCTCCTGTAATTCCTCTTTGGGGGGGGCCCTAGAAGAGCATGAAGGAGCAAATATTTCCCTAGGTATATAGCCATTTCTCTAAAAGTCAGACCAAATGGCTCCAAGGCTTAGCGATAATTAAGCTTCTATAAAGGGATTTGAAAACTACCTCTTCTGTATCTACAAATAAATTCTTATTTTCAGGGTTCAGATGTATCTCCCAATCCAGGACTGTCTTAATCTGTGCTGCTATAACAAAATACCTGAGACTGGGTAATTTATAAAGAACACAAGTTTATCTTCTCACTGTTCTGGAGGCTGGGAGGTCCAAGATCAAGGCACCAGCTGGTTCAGTGTGTGGTGAGGGCCTGGTCTCTGCTTCCAAGATGGGGCCTTGAATGCTATGTCCTCATATGACAGAAGGGACAGAAGGGCAAAAAAGGGCCTACCTAGTTCCCTCCAGCCCTTTTATAAAGCACTAATCCCATTCAGGAGGGCAGAGCCCTCACGGCCTAACCACCTCCTAAAGGCCCCACCTCTTAATACTATTGCACTGGGGATTAAGTTTCAACATGAGTCTTGGAGGGGAAACATTCAAACCATAGCAAAGACCATCATTTTTAAGAAGACATTTTCCAGTACGGGCTTCTCTCAAAAGGCTGACTACTAAAAGCCAAGTCCTTCGTCTTCTTATCAATTGTCAGATCTGTGAAGGATAATCATCAGACATCTGATCCTGATATACAAGTGGCCGCAGGGAGACCTAATGTGCAGTCTTCCCAGAGTGGGAGTGGCCACAGTGGGTGGACAGATGTAGCGGTCTGATACTGGCAACTAGATGCCAAAGGTCTTCCAACCCTATGGAAGTGATAAGTCGCGGCAAATACTTCAGGAGAAGGAGAATAGGAGCAAAAAATACAGGATTTTCTTCCAAAGGAATTTTACATATCCATTAAGGAAAATGGTAAATTTATTGGATGAGCAGGTGGATACACATATTCATAAGATACTCATTTTATTGGCTCCTCCTAATTTTTAAACAACTTATTTAGCTCTTGATTCCAAAGTCACAAGCAAACTTCATTCTACTCTGGGAGAATACTCTGCACTACGACAGCTGCTGAGTTTAAACCAGAACAATATGGGTTAAAGAACATCAAGGCTGAATGTCAAGAGCTGCAATTTGTGAACTGCTTTATATAGTCCTCAGCTATGTCAGGGTCAGTGATATGAGAGATACAAGTGCTTTTAAAATTAAAAATTAATCTTAAATATATTGTGTGTTCGGTAACATATTGCATTCAGCATACCCACACATGAATCATTCAAGATCCCTAGCTACATGTAATCTGCCTGGGCTTTTTATTGTTGGTTGTAGTGTAGTTTGGTGGGCAGATTACATTCATTTAACTCACGATTATTTCAGGTCCCTTCCTCCTTTATACTTCAGCCTCTAATATATGTTGCAAAGAAAAGCAGAAAATGATCTCATCTTAGAATCACAGATATCACTAAAGAAAATATTTAAATGACACTCTCTCCTCCTCAGATGAGTCCTCTTGTTCTGTAATAGATACCAGGGATGTGGAAAAGCAGTGTTTTAAAAGATGTCAGAGGGCCGGCCCGGTGGCACACTGCTACAGTACGCCGCTTGGGAGTGCGGCGACGCTCCTGCCGAGGGTTCGGATCCCACATACAGACCAGCCACTCACTGGCTGAGCGAGGTGCGGGCGCAACACCGAGGGTTGCAATCCCGTTGCCGGTCCCGGTCCGGTACGGGCGCGACACTGAGGGTTGCGATCCGTTGCCGGTCACGAAAAAAGACAAAAAGTAAAAAAAAATAATAATAAAAAATAAAAGATGTCAGAGATATGTTATGGTGTTGATGAATGAAAATAGGCTGAATTCATATCAGTCAGACTGTTAATGATTAGCCTGGTACCTTAAGTGCTGATTCCAAATTTGAAGAGTATGTTCATGGGAAAATGAGTGTCACTGTGGACCAAATACTGACATAAAGCTCAATGTTCTATTTATTAAATCACTATACACCTAATTTTTCCAAACCCTGCTCCCAGTTTGTAATACTCTGCCATTTATCTATTTATCTACTTATTTATTTAGGCAGCTGGTTGGTACAGGAATCAAACCCTGGACATTGGTGTTATTAGCACCATGCTCTAACCAACTGAGTTAACCAGCCATCCCAGTCATGAATTTAAATGCAGATAAAAGATCTATTATCAATCTTATTCTCAATGTTTTCTTAATTTTTAATTTTTCTTAATAGTTTTTAAAGTAGTTCATATGAATTTATAGAATACTTTTCCTTTTAAGATGAAGAGGAGATTCAAAAGACAATGAATTTAAAATGTAAATCAGATTCATTAAGATATAACTCAAATGCTTCAGGTGCATAGTGAAAAAGTTTATTTATGACAGATTTCAAAACTCAGAAAAGAAGACAGAATGCACAAAAGCATCACAGAACTGTTACACAATATAAAAACACAAGAACCGAGCTATTTACAGAACCATAGCTCAGGATCATCAGTGTATCTCAGCAACACATTCAGTGCCACAGGGTGATAAAATATGGCATTTTAAAAGAATAACCACTCAGCAGGACATAAGAATTAACAATTTGGTACAAAGCTCTTAACTTAAGAAATCATAGGAGATGTTGACAGCATTTCTCATGTTAGGGTACACGTAAAACAAGTTGACTACAATAAATGATTAGTTGGGATATTTTGCATTTTAAAGAAAAAAGACAAGACTGTGACAAAGTTTCCCTTCTAAACCCCTTCTGTAATGTCAACATCAGTGCATGATACAAAACAGTAAGGAAAGAATGTCTTCGTGGTTGCCAATTGCTTAAATATTTACCAAGAGAACATGATTGCCGTTCAATCAACTGACAGAACTGAGTACACAGCACCAAAGCTATATGGGGATAAAGTAGTTTAGAAAATCTTCAAACACCTCCCTCTATTCTAACTATCCTTGCCCAAAGACTGGCTTTCTTATAAGCCATCACTGTGATTACAAAGGAGCTTCCTTCTGGGAATTTCAGAACACTTCCCATTACTATTAAGGGAAAATGGGTACACCAGAGTTATGGGATACAGGATTGCTTTCTCCAGACTTTACTTGCTCTCTAACATGGCTAAATGGAAATAATTCAGCTTAACTAAATGAAAACTAATTCATTTATGAGACAATAATCTCAGCAAGAGAAGTGGACTTTTTAATATGGAATTTCTTAGTAAAACGTACTATTAGGACATAAGAGAAGGAATTAAGATAATGTTTTTCAGATGATTCTTGGCCAGAACCTAGGAATCAATAACAATCAATAGCAAGGAACACTACAGACTAGGCGTTTCAACCCTGAGTGATAAAGAGAGTTCAGGACTAAAGCCCCTTAAACTGGCTGTGAATTATGGGCTCTTTGGTAATATGAGAGCACTTCAAAAAGTTTACAGATTTGTTACCTTAATTCTATTTTTCCATGAACTTTTTAAGTACCCTTGTACTATATACTATAATATTTCAAACCAAAACTTCAGAATTGTTTATGATCCTATATCAGAACTTTAGAAAATACTCTTTGTTCCCTGGAAGTCATTTTACATATATTATTTTACCCCCAGATAAGCCAAAACTACCTGCTTAGAGTGATAGAAAACTGTGGAATTTAACAAAGAGGACTGTATCTCTAGTTTTCTAGGGTATCTTTTCATCATGTCTTAGAACGAAGAAGAGCCATGACATTAACTCTGGTCCACATGCCTGGGGCCTAAAAGAAAAACATGAAATACAAAGAATACACATAATAGAAAAATACATATAACACAAGGTACATACGCTAGAAATCAGATCGTGATTCAAACCAGTGAAAATTTCAAATAATTTCAAAGCCAGTGTCTTGCCTTTGGACTTAATTTTTGAGGGAATGACTATTTGTAAATAAGCCCTACTATCACAGGCTTTAGGCAGTTAATTGTGTTTTCTTAGCTTAGAGACATAGGACTCAAACAGGAGGGGCTTTGTGTGGCCTTCTTGGTTAAGGGAGAAACAAAGCAACACTTCAGAGGGAGCAATGATTTCTGAAATCCGGCCACATGATACTTAGCAAAGTTTCTCTCACCCTTTGGGTCTCAAATCCTGCCCTAACCTCACTGCCTAAATAACTGGGATGTTATTTAGGAATTCCCACAGGTGCTTGATGGGTTAGACAGAACAAAAGGTTGCTCTGACCATTGGCAGATACAAACAGAGCCAGACCAGTTCTTGCCTCAGTGCCTTGTCCCATTCCAAGAGGCCACAAGGAACAAAAGGTACTCGGGTCACTGGAAAGTAGATACCTGGCTTGTGATTGGTCTTAGACACATTCCCTACTTACTTCCCAAAGAATCATGCATCATGGCTCCCTGAGCACCATCTAACACATAATGAATGCAATGACTTACTTCTATAAAGCACAGATCCCCTAACACGTTCCCCCCACATCAACAAAGTGAAATTACCCTCCTTCACACAGAAACTTACTTTCCAACTCTTTTCAACCACTGAGATTCTGTAGAGATGGTACTCTTCCCCTTTCCAGTAGATACAGGTTTCCAAGAATTCTATACTTTTTTGGCCAGGTGGAAGGAAACTAGTGGAAGAGGTTGATGTGGACCTCTTAGCCACAGGAAAAACTCAGAAAATTCTATAAGGGAGAAAAAACTGTGTCTGTTTGGCTTGTTCCATTTACTGCTGTGTATATGACCATCCCACGCATTAAAGAAGACTCTGATTCCTATACCTCACAGGGAGGTCATCTACAGGGGGTCCATGTTGTTTTGCAAACACACTCTTGTTTGAGGTTCTCTGTGACGTTGGTGAAAATGAATTTATTTCATCCCCTTCTTGGTCATAATCAAAACCAACTGTGGCTACAGTATGTACCATAACTGGAACTAACTCCTCCCAGCCTCTTTCTAATCCCACTATCTTTTTTCATGGCACTAGACTCTTTAATCCCAAAGAACACAGACATGAAATCAACCCTCAAGTCAGGATTACACTTAGCAGAGGAGACCTACTCAAAACTATTTCTAAATTTGATCCTGTTGGAAAAGACAGCAAAGTGGGTCTGGGATTTCTCCAGCAAGCACAGTGAGAATCAGTAAGGCTTCTGGCTTAAAGGACAATTCCAAGTAATAAAATGCAAACTAAAGCATTAAATGAAATTGGAATATGAGCAAAATTCCAGGATATACAGTATTTGGTAGCTTTGCTATCCCCCCACCCCATTTTATTCTGTTTTCACTCCTTGCTATCAATTTTAAAAGGCAGTTCTCATGCAGTACAAAACTGTTTAACTCACACGCTTCCCTCATCCTCTACTAAAACAATAGTCTTTTATATAAATATTAGGGTGGTTCAACTCCATACCTTAGAACCACAGACTTTGGGGTTAAAGGCAACCTTTTGCAGAGAAAAAGTCCTAAAAAATAAATATAAAAACACAGACTTTAGGATATAAGTTTCACCTAATTCCCTCAAAGAGGGACTGTGTAGGGCTTATCAAAAACAAACTCATATTTTCTATAGATCATAAGTTTTACAATAATATCTAATTCCACTGATCAATATAAGACAATGAGCTTTCAGACTTAACTCTATCATACACATATTATGATGGGATAAGATACACATTTTTAGAAGTCTGAGTTTTCTTTCCTAAATAACAGATAAAAATATTTTTTAAAGTGCATGTATCAATTCATTAAGGAAAAAATAACTAAGAATGATCTAATTTCAAGTTGCTACCTAGTTCCATTATAAAGCTACATGTTATCTGAGGATTGAATTTTAATTTCAGAGTCCTGAGGATGTGTCATAATGAAACAGAGATAGAAGAAAGTCGTTCCAGAGCAGCTTCACAATTACTCTCACACTGACATGCCAGTTAGAGAGGAAATAGCAGCGATCGCGGCCTGAGGGAGAGGGGAAATCCAGCATGAATTTTCAAAGATGAAGACCAAGAGACATTTTTATAAAGACTACCTCCTGGGGAACCCATGTTGAATGAAACAGGTCTCCTGAAAATCAGGGGCTCTCTGATACAGGAGAGCTGATGTTGTCTGTGCAGGGAGCATTCTCTAACTGGATAGTTGTCAAAAGGAACAGAATGATAGAATCATCTGTGTTTAAAAATGAGCAGTTTATAATTTTAAAATCTATGTGGGGGGTGTGTGTATGAGTGTTTATACTTCTTTGAAATTTTCTGTTTGCTGAAAATTTTTCATAATAAAGTGTTGGGAAAAATTAACACTTTAAACACGTCTTCCTTTCCAAAAGCCCCATCTCTTAACAAAGCAAAACTAAACAAACTGAAGAAATTTAAGAATTCAGCCCCTCTGTAGAGAATTCCAATCTCTCCCCTACTATGAAGCACTTTCAGTTGTGTGTTAGCATTTACCTGTGCTCTAGAGAACAGGGTGAGGGTGACACCAAATGATTTTCATTTTGTTGTTTAGTTCTATAAAGGGACAGGGAGAGATTGAGGAATTAACCATCTCTTAGAATTTGCTGGGTTCTCAGTAATTACCTGTGCCTCAGTACATAATATTTTGTCCCTAAAGTTCAATTATTTCAGAAATTTAATATGAGAATAGTGAATGAATCAGACAGTGAAAATACCTTCTTTTAGCTATTTTGTGTTAATGGAACAAAGAAACCCTGACTGTTAGTGAAAAACCAGTGTGGAATGAAATGTGACAATGCCTGGGACTTCAAAAGTGACCAGACAGTAACAGGCACAGAGAGGCGATGGGAACAAGTCCCTCTGGCTTCTGATGCAACAGAACTAGGATTCCAAAGAAAATAAGCAGAGAGAATATCACGGCAAAAATAAAAAATAAATAATAAGTGTAATCCCTGGGAACTTGCTATGTATGGCCTAACAGCTCCATTTTGAAAGTCAGAAGTTAATAATAAGCAGGAAAAATAAGCAAGGTTTTAGCTGGCTGGACAACAGCTCAGTAGAAAAGGATTTTACAAAGATTATATTCAATTAGCTAAGGCATGATTCAACTTCAAAGATGAAAGAGTGGTCACTCAGCTATCTGATGGGGTGACGCACAGCAGGTTTGCTTTTTACTGCCCAAATAGACAGCTACTAAAAAATTTCTTACAAGGTATATAAATTTTGGTCAGTGTAATCCTCTACAAAATGCACTCACAAATATAAAATAATGGAGGTATGATGCTGCTCAGAGAACGGGAATGCTATGGCAACCCACGACGTCCTATCCTAGGGCTCTAATCCCAGGGGAACAGAAGGTGCAGGACATGCTGCCCTTTGTTCCTGACCACGATGCTAGCGGGGAGTCCTGTCCTTGGAGTTACTGCTCCTGCAGGAAAGAGAGGCCTGGTATGAGGCATCCACACAACGAGGAATGAGCCAAAGGCACCATTGCGAAGAAGGTGACTCTTCAGAGGAGGCGAAGGACTCTGAAATCCTGGAAGCACAGGATCTCTCTGGTTGCCAGTCAACTCCTCCACACACACTCCCTAGTAAATGGGCAGATTGCCTCATGACCTAGAATTCCTGGCAGGAAGTGCCGGGTGCGCCCTCTACACGGGGTAGGTTGGCATCACGTATCTCTAAGAGGCAAACTCCTCCCAAAGCATCACAGGACAGGCCTACAGGAATGGAGCATTATCACTTCCCAAATTCTCCTAAAATCGTCATCTTTAACTTCGTAGAAGAGGTGGCCTCAGTGGCACAGAACAGATGGGAAGCCTTCTGAGAAACAGACGGAAACTGTTTCAAAGGCAATGAAATGTGCTTAAAAAAATAAAGCAATAAATAAATCTAATTATGCCTCAAAGTTCAAAGGCAGTAACAGACTTAACACAAGGGATAAGAAACAAGCAGGTACCGACAACTGCTGAGGTCTCATCTCATATGCTTCTCTTCCTGAGGCCCTGCCACCTGGGTCTCTGGTGACCACTGGCTTCAGCACCACCTGCACTCTGGCACTCCTGGGCCTCAGGGCTGAGAGAGTGGGAAAGGCTGTCACCAGGGAAATGCAAGCTTTGGCCAGGTAAAGAACGAGTACAATCAGCAGCAACAGCGAAGCTTCATTATCACCTTTCCTAAGGGACTTTGAACACCAAACACTTTAAACCCTAAATGCAAGGAACCTAAATCCAGAAACTTTGGAAACCTGACTGGATTTCACTGCATTTGGTTCAAAAGCAAAACTTCTAAATAATACCCCTACTCTAAAAGACACACACAAAAAAGTGGTGGGAAATCTAGGGTGATTTTTCTTAACCTTCTCTCTCAGACGATACCCTTCATTCTTTGATTATACAAAAAAAATTTTAATAACACTTGACTTTCAACAATGTGGATTCTGAGATCAATTCAGTACCTAATTTCTGCCCTTTCTGTTTCAACTGCCAGCGTCCTTAGTAAGGAAAATTAACTCTTGGAACAGGAAGTGATGGAGGCAGTTTTCCTTCCCAGAAGATCTTAGGTTACATTGATTATCACTTTAGATTGCATGAAGGTTCTTGCTGTAATGGCAAAAACACAGACTTAGGAAAGGGAAAAGAGGGGGAATCTAACCATTAGGAATAACAATATCCCTCCAAAGGCAGTGAGGTCTCTAGAGACCGAGAATAATTAGCAGGCAGGAATATGGCAGTGGTGAGAAGCTGGACAGAGCTATCTCCATCCAAGAGCCTGGGCTCCTACGTGGACAATGTGCTTTTCCCTCTTCTGGCACCTCAAAAGGTAAAGAGGGGGTACCACTAAATGCATTGGCAATAAAGGCTCTGGGAGAGGAAAGAGCAGCAACCTGAATGATAAACCTAGTACCAAAACAGATCTATTTTTAAAAGACAACACCCTATCTCCTTTTAGGCTTTTGCCTGATAGGTGCCTTCACAGAGAGATTTTGCTGGAGTCTGAAGCAAGAACAGCATGAGGCAGGGACCACAGAACAGGGGCACTACACCACCACCTGCAAAAGCCAAGAAAGGGAAAAAGCTACGGGGGTCACCAGTCAGGCATGCCAGGCAGGGCGTGAGCCTCAGGAGCCTCGCACTGAACTTTTAGCTCTTGCCAATCCAAACAAGAGGCACCAGCTGGCAGCCCATGTCAGCCAGTAAATACAGCCTGCCCCATCCCAGCAGTCCTTCAGCTAGTGTAGTAGATGTGGAAGTAGAGGGTCTTGTTGCGTAGCAGGGAATAGGAGTTGTCGAACTTGAGCAGGTAGATGCCCTCACCAGGGTAGTCATGGCTGCCAGCCTGCACATCTCGGTGGCTGTCCCGCCGGTACACAGGCATGACCTCCCCATAGCGACCCCGCAGGGAGCTCCTGGAGCCTCTCTCCACATCTCCAACTGGGACAGGTTCTGCATAAGCAAAATAGCAGAGTGTTTGGATATGAATTCAGACGCTGAATAAATCCTGCATGAAGTTGAGAAGATGGGCCAGGTAACCCCAGTGGCTTTCACCCAGGAGGGAAGCTACTACCCTCCTATGGGCATTTGGAAATGTCTGGTGATCTTTTTGGTCATCACAGTGACTACTGAGTGATACTGGCATTTAGTATCTAAGGGTCCAGGAGCGTTAAAATCAGAACAGTACCTACGAAACAAAGAAGTGTCCCATCCCAAATGCCAATAACATCTCCACTGAGAAAAAATGATTAAGCCTTAAAGGAACCTTCCTAACTCCAGAAGTGTCTGGACATTTCCAAGGGAGAGAAAGAGATAATTGTGGGGGATGTCCTAGCATCCTTTCCTTCAACAGGCAAAAGGACTGGCTAACGGAGGTAGGAAATGCAGATAAACACACTGTACACAGGGACCCTAAAACTTCCACCTGACTTCCTGAAAAGCAGCAAATAAGATAAGAGGTTCTCCTCTTCCCTAAATACTATAGATTTCTTTCTTTTTTTTTTTTTTTAAAGATGACCGGTAAGGGGATCTTAACCCTTGACTTGGTGTTGTCAGCACCACGCTCACCCAAGTGAGCTAACTGGTCATCCCCATATATAGGGATCTGAACCCGTGGCCTTAGTGTTATCACCACACTCTCCCGAGTGAGCCATGGGCCGGCCCTTAAATATCTATAGATTTCTGTGCAGACTTGCTTTTCTATAACAAGTTAAGAGATTGATTCAAGGGCCAGCCCCGTGGCTTACTTGGGAGAGTGTGGCGCTGGTAGCACCGAGGCCGCGGGTTCAGATCCTATATAGGGATGGCCGGTGTGCTCGCTGGCTGAGCATGGTGCGGACCACACCGTGCCGAGGGTTGTGATCCCCTTACTGGTCAAAAAAAAAAAAAAAAAAAAAAAGTTTTTTAAAAGGATAAAAAAAAAAAAAAAAAAAAAAAGTTTTTTAAAAGGATAAAAAAAAAAAAAAAAAAAAAAAGTTTTTTAAAAGGATAAAAAAAAAAAAAAAAAAAAAAAGTTTTTTAAAAGGATAAAAAAAAAAAAAAAAAAAAAAAGTTTTTTAAAAGGATAAAAAAAAAAAAAAAAAAAAAAATTTTTTAAAGGGAAAAAAAAAAAAAAAAAAAAAAAAAAAAGAGATTGATTCAAGGATCATATAAGAAAATCAAAAAATAAGGCTAATGCTTCAAACCTATTCTTACATTACCTGAAAAAAATACCTCAGGGCCATCCTGAGCAGTAGCTACAAATAACAACTGGAATGGAGCACAGAGGCCACTTTCAAAACTGCTCGGGGCATGAGGTAAAGAAGTAACCAGTAGGCAGCCAGATTTGACAGTTTGGAGTGGGGAGAGAATGGTACAGTTAGCAAATCGTAATCTCTCAGTTTGATTCCAGGACAAGAATAAATATCCCCAAACTAACAGAGAAATGTAAAATAATCTCGGGTTTACATGGGATCAGAAAAACCCTGCCTCTGTATACAGCAGCACAGACCTATCCTTCTTCCCTGCCTCCGTCCATTCCTACCCCAAGGAAATGCTGGGAAACAGCTAGGCACTGACTAAAAGGAAGAGAAGCTTTCAACCAAGACATCAACACCAACCCCACCAGAATGCTCTCTGAGGGTCTGACTTTGGCCTCTACGACTCAGCTTTCAATGCTGGATTCCTCACCTGCATTCTAAGGAAGAGGAGGCTGGTACAATCCAGGGAGGGGTCACTAGAAATTAGCTGGGCCAGAAAAGAAAGCTGCAAATTATGTTAAAGTTAAGCCTACCTTCAATCTCCTCTTCCTCTTCCTCTTCTTCATCCTCGTCCTCACTGGAATCGCTGACTTGCACAGTTATGTCAGTGCTGGTTACAGGGGTCCAGTCAAAATAAACTCCAAAGCCAATGTCATAGTCATCTGTCGCAAACTCCCAGCATACACGCTTCCCCTCTGGATGGGTAGGGACCCGGATGGTCACCACCTCTCCCCGCTTCACCACCAGACGGCTGTTCTTCTCTTTGCCCAGCTTGCTTTTGAATTCCTTCACCTTGGCAAAGGTCCAGATGCATGGAGGAGCCATCAGAGGTGGGGAGACTGAAAGGACAGGCAGCTTACCACTGAGAGGCCATGAGGACATGCTACCACACCTGGCATTTTGCTTGGGGGGGAGTAACACAAAGACATTCTTTCTACTGATTTCTTTGACTTCCTTTCACAAGTCATTTTCTTTCCTTCCATCTGTGTGCCTGCCTTTCTTTAAGTATCTATTGGAAACAAAAAACCCACCTTCTATACTCCCAAAGGTCTCACCTTTCCTGTGGTCCCCCAGGAGATCTGCAGATTCCAAATCAGCTGAAAGAACATCTATAGCTCCTGTGTGCTCAGACTGGATCATGACCATGTCCCCCGACCTTTGTGGAACTTGGTACTTGGCCATCTGCAAACAGAACTCTGGTTAAAGGACCTGCTAGAGTGCAAGATGCCATTAACCTCTTTCCAAATGAAGGCTGCCCTACCCCGGCCTTACTACCTCCACCACCGCAACACAAAGCTTCATGTGCTAGTCGACATTTCTTCTCTTCCTTCCAAGTTGCTCATCAATTCCACTCATTTTTTATGCCACCGAAATGGTCCCTAGTTTAGAGATTCTTTCTTGTTCTTTCCTACCTTTTGCAACATTCCTGCTCTAGACCCTTTATAAAATCCTTGCCCACAAACATGCTCATGGCTTTCTACAGATTTCTGCAACAATGGCGTTTCTGGGCCATGCCTTCTGGGTCTTGCCTCAGCCTGCACGGTCCCTCCCTGTGGCTGCTGTCATGACAGCTCCTGCACCTGGGTTTAGCTTGACTCCCACTCTGCCACACATGCTCCTGCTACAATTCCCACTCAAGGGTCCCTTCTGCATCACTGTCAGTCAGTTCATCAAAGCACTGCAGAGACAGAATCTGGTTTCTAGTCTCTCTCTGTGTCTCCACCATGGCACACTGCAGGCTACAGGCTCTCCCACCCTCTATGTCACTAACAGTACTCTATAAATAATTACAATTTCCCCTTAGACCAGCCCCAGGATTTGCATTTGAACATGTATTTTCTGCCAGCTATCTGACCTGCACAGAAGAGCACAAATGGCATTTGATACTTGAAGCCTTCACTAACCCCCGCAGGAGCCTGCAATCTCTCCCCGGTAGGTTTCCCTTTAAGTCACTCAGATCAGTGTTCCCTGTTTCATGCTATTATGCCTTAATTTCCTGCCCCTTCTCCAAACAGTTGGCAGGCAACTTAATAGGAAATCTATATGTACTGCCCACAGGGGAGAGCACACCAGTGAGTCAGCAACCCAGTTAAGAGGATGGAACCGAACTTGCAATAAATAAATAAATCTTAAATTTGTAATCCTCCCAGGCTGTATTCTCACAGTATCTGTTTCTGGAAAGCAAACCCTCCAGTTCTTCTCATCTCCATTGCTAAATGAAGTGAATCAGATTTTGGCTAGTGTGCTGAAACAAATCCTATCTTTTCCAAAAGGCTAGACAGAAGATTTAGCTGTCAACTTATCAGCTGCATAGCCTTAGTAAAGTCACTGACATCTCTTTGCCTCTGTTTCCTCATCTGTTAAATGGGGACACCATGGTACCTATCTCACAAAGTCATTCTCGGAAGTAATGAAGAGTTGTGGATAAAAATGTTTGTAAATCATAAAGCATTATACAAATGTGATTATAAGGTTTGGTGTTGTCTTTATTGACACAAACGCCAATAGTTATTATAATACATATGCTAATAAGGATACAAACAACCCCTACCTCCCATACTTCATGGCAGGGGGACCACTACTATTAACACCATTTCTGTAGAATCTTTACCATAAACAGTAAGTAGATCTACCACATGAAAAAGTGAGACTAAGATGCAGTGCAACGACATCAGACTCCTTAGAGAACACATAAACATTCATTCTAATACTTTATTTTTTGGACAGGTGCTAGTACAATGGGCCCTGGGGAGATACAAATAACCATTCTCCAAGTAATCAAAAAATGAGATGCCGTAAGTGGGGTAAAGATAGAATTCTGGGAGACACTTTCACAGTGGTTTCTAATTCCAATCCATCCATCACATATTTAAATTCTGGTGCCACAAACTCCTCCTTTTAGTTAGAGACAGCCAGAATACACTCCCTACCTCGTTGAGGACCTGGGCCTGGTCTGCAGGCAGCAAATCCTGTTCTGCCAAGTCCTGAGCCTCCGAGGCAGCGGCTGCTGCCCGCTGATCTTCTGTGGCATCCTCCCTCACTGTGGGTACCATCTGTGGCCTCCCAGAGGAAGAGAGCATGTCAATTCAAGGGTTCTTTGAAAAGGCGCAATTGTCCTGGAGAAATTCTGAAATAAAACAACACGCAAAGGACACCCCCACTCCCACCCCTACCTTCCCCTGGCATTTAGGTCTACTGTCACTTTAGCCAACCACTGCCCAGGGCTGAATTGGCCCACAGTAAAGTAGTAACAGTGTGTAAAGGCAACTGACTGACAAAGCCAGGTCCCAGGCTCTGAGGACCATGGTAAACACACAGCTCAGTCGTCTGAGATGGCCTGCATGCAGTTGGTTGTCTTTTCCTTGTTGTTATTGTTGTTGTTTCCTTTATTTATTCATTTCAATTGACAAATAAAAATTGTATACATTTATAGTGTGCAATGTGATATTTTGATATATGCATACATTGTGAAATGATTAAATCAAGCTAATTAACATATCCATTACCTCACGTACTTATTTTTTTGTGGAAAGAATGTTTAAAATCTACTCTCTGAGGGCCGACCCCATGGTGCACTCGGGAGAGTGCGGCGCTGGGAGCGCAGTAGCGCTCCCGCCGCGGGTTCGGATCCTATATAGGGATGACCGGTGCGCTCACTGGCTGAGTGCGGTGCAGCCAGTCTCAAAAAGGACAAAAAAAAAAAAAAAAAAAACTACTCTCTGAGCCATTTTCCAGTATACAATACATTGTTATTAGCTATCATCACCACACTGTACAAAGATCTCCAGAACTTATTACTCCTTCCCTAACTCCCCTTTGACCAACATATCCCCATTCCACCCCCCAAACCCAGCCCCTAGTAACCACCATTCTACTCTCTGCTTCTATGAATTCGACTTTATTCCTCACTCTGGGACCCAGGCCACTTGCTCCACACAGAATTTCAACAAAAGAAGAGTTAGAATGCCAATACAGCTCTACACACAAAGCCACTGGACAGGAGCAAAGGGTGGAGGTCTGCCTAAGCCAGAGACTGATCGCCACAACAAAGGAAGTGCAAACTGAACAGCAAGGCAATCCCCCCACAGTTATCCCAGCGGCTTTCAGCACTTCCGTTTTATGCCCCGTCCCAGATCACTGAAAGAGGTGATGACTTTCTTTCCTTCTTTAAGCACATTAATCAACTATCTCAATGACTTAAAACACAACTATGTGAATAGTTTATTTTAAAGAAGCAACAGAATGATTTATGCTCTCTTCCATTTCCCCTGGCTTCAGAGAGACTAGAAAATGAGTTAAGTGCCAGGGTTGGCACATACCCCAGACCTTTAGAAATCTGTTGCGAATAAAAGGCGACATGGATTTTTTAGAGCAGCAGTTATCGAAGTATGGTCCAGGGACCCCTGGGGTCTTTAGGACCCTTTAGGGAAGTCTGTGAAGTTAAAACTTTTTCCTAATAATAACTAAAATATTATTTCCCTTTTTTCATTCTCATTTTCTCAAAAGTATGCAGTGGAATTTTGCAGAGACTATATGATGTGATATCACAAGAATGAATCCAGAAGCAGAGATGAAAGTCCAACTGTCTTTTATTAAGCCACACATTAAAGAGATTTATATTGTCTGCTCACTACATTATCTCTGTCTTGGAAATTAGTTTTTTTCAATTAAAATGTTATTTTTACTAACATGTTATGAGTTCATTATTGTTTTTAAACTCAACTATATTCTAATTGTTTAGTTTTAATTTCTAACATAGCAAATATGAGTATTGATAGATAGGCATAAACAAAAATTCTTTGGGGTCCTCAGTAATTTTTTAAGAGTGTAAAGGTGTAAAAGTTTGAGAATCCCTGCTTTAAGGCATCCTTTCCTCAAAGAAACTGAGTAAATGATTGGGAAATGATACTACAAACCACATGGGGAAAACAGAAGAGGGTTTTACTTTAGCGTTTATAAGTTTTCTTTTTCTTTCTTCCCTTTTTAAACATAAACAAGAAAAACCACTCCTAGTTTATAAATTACCTCTTTTTTAGATAAAACAGCCATCTTTTGGAATATCCAAGTCACTCCAACCTACCTCAGAATAAACAAGAGGTGGTGTCCAAGTGTGAGCTAACAGTATAATATCTACCAAACTGAGAAGGTATCCTGAGACCGAAGAACAAAGCAGGCAACTCTATACAGTTTACGAGGAGTTTGTTATTATTATTGATGGGTGTTTACCTACAGGGAATGGATTGGGGAATGCAGCTCTACACAGCTGCTTTCTCTGCAGTGGGGAGTGGGAGAGGAATTGAAGTTTATAAGGGACTTAGAGACAAAAGTGGAGCTATGCCAAAGAGAGAGAGGCTGCAGGAGTGTTAAGATTCCTAAGCACCTTGCAGCCACCTATTGCTTATCCTTGGGGTTGCTAGAGTCACCTTCTTCATCTCACACAAGTATAGCATTCTGTTCCTTTCCTTTCCTTGGTTACTAAGCACCCTATGCAGAGGAAAGATTGTAACTTTGATTGAAGCCAGAGCTCATGAGGATGCAGTGAGTTCTGACCAGCATTCCTACAGGTGGTTACTATGAGAATCAGAGCTATGGGATACCATTGATATTTACAGGTTTGCTTGGGTAATCCAGTGTAAATTGTAAATTGGTCTAAGCTATGAGCCTATTTTAATGCTCCTAAACCCAGAAATTACAACCATTTTTGTTTCTTGACACTGTTTATTGTCTGTCTCCTCTACCAGAATGTAAGCTTGATGTTAGGAACTGAGTCTTACTCTGTATGCACAGCATCTGGAACCAAGCCTGTTAAATGGAACGCTAAGGCCCTTCGCACTCTGACTTCATCTCCTAGAATCCTAGCTTTGCCCAGGTCACTTCAGCCACAATGGCCTCTGGAATCTTTGATAGTCCTCAAATACCAGCACTCTCCCATTTGAGGGTCTTTCCATGTGCTATATCCTCTGCCTCAAATACTCTTCCCCTTGTTAACTTACAGCTTCCTTCCTTCAAGTTTCTGCTCAACTATCACTTTCTGAGGGGTTTCCCAGATATCTGTACATAAAATGGCTTGTCCCTCCCTGGCCCTATCACTCCTTACACCCTCACCTGCTTCATTTTTCTTTACTGCACTTATTACTGCCTGACTAACATGCACCATATTTTCTTGATTGCAAGATGTATATTTGTTTTTTAGGTTTTAACACAACTGAAACATGGGATGTCATAAAAACTAATGTCTTAAAATGGCTATGGGCCTGGACAGACACTAAGTCCTTCCACAAGAGATTTGCATTTGCTTCTGCCAGTACTTGGGAATGCTACCAACCTGAGACAACTTGAAGTTAGGTTCTCTGTTTAAGGGTTTTGTTTAGACAACACTGGCAGAGTGAATTTAGACAACAAACCAATGACTACCAACTTGTGGTTCATATTCTCAGGGGAGATTTTTTTCCTCCCCTTACAAAGTGCCAAGTTTGACACACTCAAATTTCCTTACTGTCTTTTTCTGTATGGAGAGATTTTTTTTTCTTTGTTCATCTTTTCATTAAAAGGACAGACTATCATTTATAATACTGGGAAAGTGAGATTATAACAGTTAATCTGAATCATTCATTCACCTCACCTTGCTGTATGTGGCATCTAAAATTTTCTTCTTTTTTTGCCTTTGTACATGCTACTTTGGAAAAATATAGTTCTGCTTACAAAAAATATTTTAAACAGGACATGCAACAGCCACATAAATTTAATGTTCACATTAGCATTTTGTGCTCTGGAGAATTAGTAAAGTATATTTTGGGAAAAATAAATTGCAAGTCACTTAATGCCAGTGATAAGCCACGTAAAGAAAAAGGCTCTACTTTAAAGGCTTCTGGTTTGTGCTGACCCGGAGCAGGAAGGCCATCCCAAAGCGGGGGGAGACACTGGCCAGCCAGCCAGCCAGCCTCACTGGACAAAATAGAAAAGTTGTGTCATTTCCATTCCCAACAAATACAAAACACAAGCACTAAGCTTCAGGCGTCACACTTCCTGGATTTTTTTCTTCACTCACTAGACTTTAGAAACAAAACTTTAAAATTAAATTTCTTTTTGTCTGAGAACATTCTGTGTTTCTCACTCAAAAAATGTATTTACTCTTCAGAGGCTAAAACAATTCTGTGCCAAAATCCATCCCCCAAAGATCCTTCAAATCCACACATTCCGAAAAGGGAGGGTGGCGGGAAGATGGAAAGTTTTCCTCAGGGGATTTGATGAGAAAGTGAATTGTCTCAAATCATCAAAGCTTTGAGGAGGCTGTGTCTTCTAAAAGGACTGCTACATGAGGGTGCTTCAAAAAGTTCATGGGGGCTGGCTGGTTAGCTCACCAGGGAGAGCATGGTACTGGTAATACCAAGGTCAAGGGTTTGGATCCCTGTACGAGCCAGCCACTAAAAAAACAAACAAAAACCACCCCATACTGGCCAGCTGCCAAAATGAACAAACAAACAAACAAAATGTTCAGGGAAAGTTTTGTATTATCTTTTAATTCAATTTTTCCATGAACTTTTTAAAGTATCCTCACATATAATAACTTAGTAGTTCTAAGCATAGAACTCAAAACTTTCTATTGCTAATTATGAGAATAAGCTATAGCTGTGTGAACCTTAGCAAATCATTGAATTCACTGTTTCATTTGCCTCATCTTAAAAAAAACAAACAAACGCAGATACATTTATTTTATTAGGATTGTTATGAGGATTAAATGATATGATACATTTTTAACACCTAGTATAGTATTTAGCAAATGGAAATACTTGATAAAATCACTATTTTGTTGTCATTACTACAGAGAAACATTCAACAAAGTGTAGCTATTATATTAACTATAATTATGTCAATTATATGAATTATTTCATATACAAAAGCAAGAAGAAACAACTTCTAAATAGAACTCAAGAAGTAACAGACTTTTAAAATACCCTGACATCTCTCTCTACCCCCAGCCACCAATTTGTGTGGGGTATGGAGACCACAGGTTCTATTAGGCAATATTGTACTATATAAACTGATCAGTTAGGCTATAATAACCACTAACTCAAGGTTCTCCAAAATACAGCTTTTCATTAGTTATTCCATTAATGTTTCATGATTTCCATTCATTCTAGGGCTCAGTACAACTCTTCCTTTTCTGCTACACACTCTGCTATCAATGATGGTGGGTGAATGAGATGGACAGAGAAGGAAATTAAGAATGACAACCTAAAGGTGATCATAATGGTCTAATCTGCAAATTACATTTTAAAAAACTGCCTCCCACTCTGATGGAAAATACCAGAAAAAAAATTAATTAAAACTGCCTTCCAGTGTGTGTGTGTGTGTGTGTGTGTGTGCGTGTGCGTGCATTTTATGGCTAAAAACCAAACACACAATCTCTAGCAAATCCACCTGGGATCCACTTCAAATGTTTTAACACTTGAAGATGGTCGTCAAGAGAAGATTAATAAGGACACTACACTATTTGTTACACTTTTATTCTGTGAGAGTAAAAGAAAAAATTATAACCTGAAATAGATCTGACATTGCCCCAAGTACACTAAAAATTTGATTAATGAAAAAACTGTCTATGCCCTTTACTTCAACTTGTCTTCTCTCTTCAAGTTGCTGCCTAATTCTTTCACCAATGTCTTATTTCAGAAGATAAAACTTCTAGAAGCATTTTATCCAAAGAAGTTGCTTGTCCCTACCTGTGGGGTGAAGAATGGGGTTCTGGATCAGAGGCAGAAGCCAATGGAGAGGTAACCTTGGTGTTTTCTAGATCTTCATTCTCTGGAAAATCATGGAAAGAAGGAATTCAATATCTGAGAAGAAACACAATCATAATTATCTTGTATCATTAAAAAACATCTAGCATGGGCCAGCCTGGTGGCGCACTGGAGAGTGCGCCGTCTGGGAGCGCGGCGGCGCTCCCGCCGTGGGTTTGGATCCCATGTGGAGACCGGTTCCCGCTCACTGGTTGAGCGTGGTGCGGGCGCAACACCGAGGGTTGCGATCCAGTTACCGGTCAGTAAAAAAGACAAAAAGGAAAAAAAAAAAACATCTAGCAGTTTCAACCAACTTCCTCTTTCCAAAAATATTCTGGGCATAAACTTTGTACTCTGGGATGCCCAGCACATAAAACATTCAAGTCGTCATATCAAGTATTCTCAGTCATAACCCATTCATAAAAAAATAAGTTGTTTTCTAAAACAAGTCCCCATAAATTTTTTTTTTTTTTTGTCTTTTTGTGAGACCAGCCGCACCGCGCTCAGCCAGTGAGCACCCCGGCCATCCCTATATAGGATCCGAACCCGTGGCGGGAGTGCTGCTGCGCTCCCAGCGCCGCACTCTCCCGAGTGCACCATGGGCTCAGCCCCCCATAAAATTAATCCTAATTCAAGAATCATATTTCTCAGAAATCAGATGATTAAATTAGGAAGAACATACAGGGCAGAGTGGGATGTAGGATGAAATGAACTGAATTTAGTGTCAAAGTATAAAGTGTCACCTCTACATTCAATAAGCTCAGATCACTGTATCCAAGGTCAGGTAAAAGACTTTTGTAATTTCACTCATTTATTCATTCTTTCATTCACCAACAACTTAACTAGGTGCCCTCAGGAGTATATAGGTGAAACACATAATAAAGGCCATGTTCCCAAGTTCACAACAAGCCTATGGCTGGTATTATCATTGCCATTTTGCTGGTAAGGAAACTAAGACAAAGACACAGGATTCAAACCCAGGCACTTGTGCTCTTAACCATCATTGCTACTTGGTTTTGTGGTTTATTCATTAAGCCTTTCCTTGAGCACACAGATACCATACGGTTCAGTGCATTTAGACAGTCCCTCATTTAACCCCCTCTGGTTAAGACAGCAATAAACTGAAGCTCAAAAATATTCTTCCACTTTTCTATACAAAGTACAACTTAATGAAATAAACCTCAAACACTGAAAGTGTCAGAGTTTGGTAGCAAAATGAAAATGAAAATGACAAGCAAATATTTGTGATCCAACTTAATCTAGTCTCATTTTTTGTATGCAAATGAGATCTCGTTTTCTGTCAATTCAGAATTTCATAGATAAAAAGGCCTTGGAGCTCATGCCACCCGACTTTCCTCCCAACAAAGGAAGTAAGTCTAAGACTCTCGTCAGCTGTTCCCCAGTCCCTGTCACACTGTAAGGAGGCCCATTTCACTGAGGGGTAATGTGAATAGAAAGTCCTCCCCTATGTTGACCTATGTAAAATCTGTTTCCTAATAAATTCTACCCTTTCCACACAAAACCCTGTCAAGTATTTACAGTCTGCTGTCACATTTCCTGCAGGTTCCTTGTCCCCAGGCTGGCCATCTCCACATCAGATGGCCTCTGGCCATGCTGGCCTCATTGAGTGTTCCACTTACTTTGTTCCATTTAAAGTCAGGATCTCAAATGAAGAACTTTCTCATAGTACACTGACAATAACTTCTTAATAAGGACACAATATTTCTTGACATAATACACCAACCAAGTACTAGGTTTTTTACCTACAAATTTACCCTGTTGGCCTAAATAAGTCAATCAAGATCTCCAGGGCTTATAAAAATAAACTTTTTCCAAGCCCACATTCTCTTATGCTCTATTTTTGACATAGACTTTTGGAAGATAATTGGCTGTTTAACTTACACTCAGGATTTTACATAACCATATTATTTATTTCAAGTTAATTTTCTGAAATCATACTAATAATGCTCTCTTGTAAAACTAATTAAAAACATTTAATCACATAAGAAAACATTTAGCATCTACCCCTCCAGACTATATTTCCTTTTTTAAAAAAATTTTAGTATACAAATACATTACTCACTATAGAAAAATCAAGAAATGCAGCTAAGCGAAACACCACCACCAACAACCATAACAAACTAACTATAACTCATTAATCAAAGATAACCACTATTAATATTTTGATGTATATCCTTTCAGAAATATATTCATACATAAACACATATGTATATATTTTTATATATGTATGTATATGTGTGTGTGTGAATGTGTTTCTGAAAAGACATGCACCAAATGCTAATGAGCATTTTTTTTTTTTTTTTTTTTGGGCCGGCCCGGTGGCGCCCTGGATAAGTGC